TGCTGTAGCAGGCTTCAGGGGAACTTCCAGACTAAAATGGACTAGAAAGAAAGTTCTGGTGATTTATTTCGAGAAATCATCCAATGAAAACTCACAGTGGTTCATTCTACAACTGATTATGGAGGTGGCACAGGAACGGGCAATGTTTTATTCTGTTGCACATGAGATTGCCATGTGTCGGGGAACAGCAGCTAAACAACAAGCCTAATGCATCTAGAATGTTTGCATAGAAAGTGTTTAATCTCTATAATATGCCCAATGTACACACATATACACACATCCCATGATTCTGTGGATTTAGAGAAATAAGTTCATGTATTGTCTCCTTACAAAAGGGTCCAGGGACCTTCATATGGTACTGAGATGGAGAAGGGCAAAATTCCAAGGAAGTAAGATATCCCAAGGGTTCTTTTTCTGGACCAAATCCTCCTCTCTTCCTATCTGTGCTCTCTAGAACAAAGAGAAACAGTAAAGAGTTTAGTGGATGGATGCAGAGAGTGTGAAGGAATAGGAAGGAATCCATAAGGATTCGAGATGTTGGGATAATAAGCATAGATCAGTGATAATGGTATAAAATACAAAGCTTATAAATGATTATATGAAGCAATGTAAATGAAAACTTATATAAAACACAATGTATACGTGTGAAACAAAAGGGAAAAAAGTACTGTATACAAACCAATTAAAAAAATTAAAAATAAAAGATCCCAGAGATGAGTGGTAAAAGGGCATGTTTGAAAAATAGAGTGTTAGAGACTGGGAATATGGAGTGAGTAGTATGTTCAGGTGGACAACATGTGATCAATAGACTTTTCTAGCTCTAAGATAAAAGGACCACAAAAGGTACCCCACAAGTTTATATCTGATCTATACCTGTGAATAGACAGAGAGTGAGAATAATGAGAATTCCCCTTTAACTCTGGTGGCATCATCTATAGCGAGTTGTGCTGCTAATCCAAAGATTGTTCATCTTCTGGGGTTCAAACCCACCAGGAGTCTGAGGAAGAAAGATAGGCAGTTTCTCTCCTGATATTCTTAGCCTTGGAAATCTACGAAAATCGTTACGAATCATAACCAACTCAAAGGCAGTGAGTGTTTGAATGTGTCCCATGACCCCTGAGTGCTAACCACCCCCCTTGTCCTTTTGGGACACTTGATTGTGAGCACATCATGTCTAATGAATTGCCTTACTGCTGAGTCAGTTCCTCTCAATCGAAAAGTTTCGGAGCCAATTCATGTCTGACATTAATGAGCGTACACCTACTCCTCACTGACTATCCTGTTACCTGACCGTTTACGTGTATGACAGTAGTTTATTAGAAAGCCACCCAAACAACTACCATCCTGCTCTTTTGTGCTTTAACCCCGGCTTCCTAACTATGTCCAGTCACTGACCTGCGGAGTCATCCCTGTCTGTCAGACCGTCAGCTGAAGCAGCCAGCTCTCCAGAAGGTCTCTTGCCAGTCCCACCTCCACTTGCAGCTCTTCATGTAAAAGAGGGGAGAGGCGGATTTTTAAGGGAACCTTTTTTTCCTTAGGGCCCATGGGGAGCTGGAGGGACTCAGAAAGAGGTGGGGGTGGGCAAGGTGCTGCTATTGCCTCCTGTACTCAGTGCCTGAACCTAGTTCTGAAACAGGAAGGGTTGGGACTTAGGAATTGCAGCAGCAGCCACTGCCTCCTCCCTGTTCTCTGCTTCCTGGGCTGCTGAGTTCCTCTTCTCAGCGAGCTGAATCTCAGCCGTGGATTCTAAGCCCTCTGAGATCAGTAACACACTGATTATTTTCATAGGTTCTTACTTCTTCCCTGTCCTGCAGAGTGGCAGCAGGCATCTCAGGGGGGCAGCAACTCCCAGTAACTATCTTTTTAAACAACGTTTTGTTGTGACTTGAGTGAAAGTTTGCAAAACAAATTTATTTTCCCTCCAACAATCCATGCACGTTCGCTGGCATGGATTGTAGCCCTTCCGTCGCAGCAGTTCTCGTCCCACTCCCTCCCTGTGCTTTCCATCTCCATTCCTCCTTTCCTAGTCCTTTATACCTTCTTTCTTCTTCCCTGATAAACTGCTGCCCTTTTTATACTGTGTGTTTGATTGTTCTAAGATTGTACTCCTCCCTATTATCATTGATTACTGTATAGACCTGTCTGTTGTTTAGCTGGAAATTGAGTCATGGGCCTGATTTCAGTTATGGGCTTAAAGAGTGACAAAGGGCCTGAGTTTTGAGGGTTCCATCAGTTTCTGTCAGACCTGTAATGCTTCTCTTTTTTTAGGGTTTTGAGTTTTGTTCTCTATATTTCTCCCACACTGTCAGGGACCGTCCGTTGTGATCCTTTTCAGAGCTGTAAGCAGTTGCCAGGCACCATTTAGTTCTGGCATTAAAGTTGCTAACACTGAAGTTCCGTAGCCCAGATTGATAGTCTGGTTCTCTTCACTCTTCTTTGCTCTAAGTGGGGAGAGGTTGATAGTTGTTCCTCAGATGGCTGCTCATGAGCTTTTAAGACCCCAGGGCTGCTCTTCAAGTAGGATGGAGAGCATTGTCTTTGTAGACTTTGTAGACATTATGCCAGTTGACAGTTATGTCTCTGAAACTACAGTCCCAAGTGGCCCAGTGTCTCATTCCCTTTAGACACTTGGTTAAGGCTAAGACGTTTTCATAATTTTGCACTAGTTACTCTACTACCCACTAACTTGACCGTGGCTTTTGCAATTGCCAAAGCCCCTGAACCAACAACTATCCCTCTAGTCCAGCTACCAGGCCCACTCGAGTGCCAGTCCCTGTGGCGGAGCTCAGTGGTGCTGGTGGACACAGCATCTAGGCTCCAGGAATTCCTCTGTGAAATCTTCCCTCACCTTCTCCTCATTTTGCACAAAGGCCTGGTCTTTGGAACCTAACCTTTTCTTTATACTGAAGGATGAGTATCCTTTCAGTCTTCTCTCCACCTCATTATTATTCTTTTTTGTTATTTCTCTTGTAAGATGATTAATTTAGATTTGTAAACATACCTTCCAGGATGCAATCCAAACTCCTTAGCTTAAAACACGTATCATTTCATACCAACTCCTACTTGTTTCCCCACCACTTCCTCCATTCCACTCTTTGTAAGTTCCTGAAGTTTTTCATACCAGTGCATGGCCATGTGCCCTTGTCCAAACCAACCCTCTCATAAAATGCCTCCTACAATCTGTTTTCTTACATTGCCTAGTTTCTGTTCACCTTCCACACCGATCTCATCCCCTTCCCTGGAACACTTCCCTTCTTTCTCCTCACTAGCCGGACTTCATGTCCTTTCTCCGTGGGACTCTGTCATCTCCTTTACGTCTTGATCCCTTGGCACAAGTCATTCTTGGGTAGTTGGTAGTTTTGAACCCTGCTGTTCATGTATTCATTCACTCATCCATTGATACAGGCATTCATCCAATACATTTTCATTGAAAGCCCACATAGATCCAACTCCAAGACATTTGAACTAGGTAGACACATAGATGAGAACATCTGAATAACCAGTAGTAACAGTCATAATGTGATACTCATGCTCTTGAGTCGATTCTGATGCTTAGTGACCCCTCGTTGGGTTTCTAGGGCTGTAAGTCATATGGAAGAAAACTAAACGTCTTTCTCTTACAGAGCAGCTGGTGGATTCAGACCATTATCAGTGTAACACACTGTGCCACCAGAGCTCATTCACAATTTGTTTTACAAATTGTATTACAAGTTGTTGTAATATTAAAGCTTTCAATCATTGGCAAAGATCATGATAGTATACATCATAATCTAAGAGTTGTTGTGTAGTTGTTATGTGCCGTCGAGTCACTTGCGACTCAAAGGGACCCTATGTACAACAGCCCTAAACTCTGCTCTGTTCTGTGCCAATCTCATTGTCTCCAACACACTCATCCTGATTACCCCAGTCACTGAATCAATCCATCTCCTAGAGGGTCTTCCCCTCCTGCGCCTGCCCTCTGCCCTCCCAACCATGATGTCCTTCTCCAACGACCAGTCTCTCCTTATAACATGACCAAAATATGTCAGACGAAGCCTCAAAATCCTTGCCTCCAAGCAGCAGCCCGGTTTAACCCTCCCCAGGATGAATCTGTTTGTTTCCCTAGCAGTCCATGGTACTCTCAATACTCTTCTCCAACACCAGAACTCAAAGGCATCAATTCTCCTTCTATCCTCCTTAGTCATTGTCCAACTCTCTGATGCATAACAAGTGATAGCAAAGATCATGGCCTGTATCAGATGCACCTTTGTCTCCAGAGAGACACCGTTGCTCTTCAGTACTTTAGAGAGGTCCCTAACAGCAGACTTTCCCATCGCAATACGTCTTTTAATTTCCTGGAATATTCTGTTTGTTAGAGGCTACTTCGTAGCTCCATTTATAACAGTAAAGAATGTTCTAAATCCAAAGCAAAATCAAAAAGTTTGATACTCTCTTCTGAACATGACCACCTTTTAGAAGCTGTGGGAATCATGGTATGTGTGTCATGGTGGAGTCACCCATCTGCGATGCCTTGCCTTGGTGACTCTGTACACTATGCTTTTAAATTTGTCTTCTGACTGAGCAAGTTTCTTTCAAAATTTTTCCAAGCACCTGCCATGTAAGTGTGAGAGGGAAACAGTAGAAAAGCAGGAGGCCAGGGAATGTGGAAGAAGGTGCAGATGTAGACTCAAGCACAAGATGGCATGGGAATTGAGGCTGGCCTTCATCTGGGACATAGTGACTGCATGAATACGGCCCTTGAAGTAGTCATCACCAAGGCGTCTTAGATATGAAGGCAGTGAACCCACTCCCTTCTGGGGCACCCACCTATGGGAATGTTGCCCGAGTCAAGCCCTTGCACTTGTAAGTGAATATGTTATCTGAGGATGTCTCTCCACACCCTGATTCCAGACAAGAGTTCATAGACTTGGAAACAACGCCAGGCATGTTGCCAGGCTTCCTCTGCAGTGAATGAGTGTTTGGCCACTTGTCCTCCTGACCTGCGTGTCTTTGTTTTACAGAGTGGTGCTCAGCATGGCAGAGATTCCAGGACTTCTCTTCCTTCTCCTCCTCCTCCTCCTCTGTGCAGTGGGGCAGGTGCACCCCTACAGTGTCCACTTGAAACCAACTTGGCCTGCTTACCGTCTCCCAGTCATCTTGCCCAAGTCCACTCTTAACCTTTCCAAACCAGACTTTGGGGCAGAAGCCAAATTGGAAGTGTCTTCCTCCTGTGGGCCCCAGTGTCATAAAGGTACCCCACTCCCCACCTACGAAGAGGTCAAACAATACCTGTCTTATGAAACCCTCTATGCCAACGGCAGCCGCACAGAGACCCAGGTGGGCATTTACATCCTCAGCAATGGCGGAGGTGGGGCCCAGACCCAAGACTCAGGGTCTTCCAGAAGGTCTCGGAGGAAGCGGCAGATTTACGGTTATGATAGCAGGTTCAGCATCTTTGGGAAGGACTTCCTACTCAATTACCCTTTCTCAACGTCAGTGAAGTTATCAACAGGCTGCACTGGCACCCTGGTGGCAGAAAAGCATGTCCTCACTGCCGCCCACTGTATCCATGATGGGAAAACCTACGTGAAAGGAACCCAGAAACTCAGAGTGGGCTTCCTGAAGCCCAAGTTTAAAGATGGCTCTCGAGGAGCCAACAGCTCAAGCTCAGCCATCCCCGAAAAGATGAAATTTCAGTGGATCCGGGTGAAACGTACCCACGTGCCCAAGGGTTGGATCAAGGGCAATGCCAATGACATTGGTATGGATTACGACTATGCCCTCCTGGAGCTCAAAAAACCCCACAAGAGAAAGTTCATGAATATTGGGGTGAGCCCTCCTGCTAGGCAACTACCAGGGGGCAGGATCCACTTCTCTGGTTATGATAATGACCGACCAGGCAACTTGGTGTACCGCTTCTGTGACATCAAAGACGAGACCTACGACCTGCTCTACCAGCAGTGCGATGCCCAGCCTGGGGCCAGCGGGTCAGGGGTCTACGTGAGGATGTGGAAGAGACAGCAGCAGAAGTGGGAGCGAAAAATCATTGGCATTTTTTCAGGGCACCAGTGGGTGGACATGAATGGCTCCCCACAGGATTTCAATGTGGCAGTTAGAATCACGCCTCTCAAATATGCCCAGATTTGCTACTGGATTAAAGGAAACTACCTAGATTGTAGAGAAGGGTAAATGTGTGTCTCCCTGGCAGCACTTACTGGTCTTCTCGTACTTCTTTTAGGAAAGGCCACCTTTGGCCATTGGATTGTTTGTGTGTGTGTGCACACACATGCATATCACACACGGGTGAGTGATGTGTCGTACAACATTTTGTACCTGGTTTCTTAAAATTGCAGGATGACTGGCTCTATTATTTGAAAGCTCTGTATATCATGTACCATTTAAACAGGTTGAAGGCATACTTTTACACAGAAATAAAAAGCATACTGATAAACATCAGTTTGGGGGCGGTTGGGGACTATTTGGTAATTAAGTTAAACTTCCACTTTCTAAGAACTTTGATTTTTATTTCCTCTGAGCGTGTGTCAGATGTTTATATTAAAATGTGGTGGGCAAGAGTGAGTTCCTATGTGTCTGGCTGTGTGTATTCTCTCTCTCCCCCTCCAGTGCTTCACCAGTGAGGCCTCAGGACAGCAGTGTTCCCCACATGGTACAGCATTTAGGAAACTCACAGCATTCTTAAGAGCACAAGTGGATCTGTTTTATATCTGGGACATTTACACAGTGTGTGAACAATAATTTGTGTATATATTCTACACTATCATAGAGGATGCCGTGCTCCTCTTGGAATATGAACTTAGAGAGTTCATATTCTGAAGACTGTTGCTCTTTGGGGAGAAGCCTTAGGACACAGCATGGCCAGTTCTGCAGTCACATCAGAGGAGGCAAGGATTGTTTCTCCCAATCCTTCCATTCTGCAGAATTTCACTCACATTTCTAGAACTACTATTTCACAGCAGACAAAACTCAGGACCTACTTACTACGGGCTCTTTTGCTCCCCAGCCAATGGTTGTGGTCACACTAAAAACAATCAGAGCATTTTATCCCCAGAGTGTAGCACATCTCATATTTTATCATTTGGATGGAGTAATTGAAAATGAATTAAATTCCAGAGAACAATGGATGCATTGCTCAGCAGATGTCACAACAGAATAACCACTTGTTTGCAGGCTGGCACAGTCACACGGCCTAATCAAAAATTATTCTGCATAGTTTTCCATGGGCTTTCACAAAGCTGTGAATTTGTTGGATTTGGAAATATTCTCCCTCTCACTTATTTTACAGTAAAAATACTTGGGAAGATATTTAAGAAATACCAGTATGGGTTGTTTTAGTTTTTGTTTTGTTTTCTTTTTAAAAAAAACCAACCCGGAAACCCTACCTTTAAAGGGACCTCTTTAGCTGGAATGTTCTAGGCTAGAGATACACAGGATCAAGTACACTAGTAAAAATGAAAATTGAGACTGCAGAATGCATGCATCAGGCATACACTCATAGTAAATTCCCTTACTAATGATATATCAATATTAAAATCACAGCATTTAAAGAAAACACTGACTTATTTTAAGTGCCTAGGCACTTCATTGTGAGTGTTTTGGAGGGTGAGGGGAAGCCAGTAGATTCCACACTTGCACCTGGAGTGATTTCTGTGTGTGGCTATTTGTGAAGGCATTCACCTCTTGCCTCACCCCCCTTAAGTCCCTACTGCCGCTACCATCCTAGTCAAGTCTGCACCGTGACCTGCCACGTAGCACTGGAAGGATAGGGAAGTGTTGCCCGTAGAGTTTGTAAGACTGTTACTCTTCATGAATGCCGACTTTGACTTCTCTCGTGGAGTGGTTGGTCAAACTGCCAATCTTCTGGTCAACAGCCAGATGTGTAATCAGTGTCCACCCAGGCTCCTAGTGGGCATTCACTCACAGCACTTCTTCCAAGTGGTGTTTTCTTTGTGCTGCTTGAGTTCCCGCCCCCCACAACAGACAGTACTAATATGACACTTAAGAAATACCCAGTGTGAAAAACAATGTATATGAGTTTTTAAAGTAAACCAGTATAAAATTTTAAAAAATACAGCCACAGTGGATGGAGATCACTTCAGAACTGTCAAGTGTGTCAAGGAGGAATCCAGGCCAAGGAGGAAGAGAGTTCTCCGTTTCTGTGATTAGTATTTAGGGTTTGGGCTTGATCTGATCTTTCTTTTGTATAAAAGAGTTACTGAACACCTAAGACCAGAATTGATATTTTAAGATACTCCTTTTATGAAGCATCTTGATTTCTTATAAAGTTCCCTTAGTACAGAAAGCCAATAGCAGAAAGTAAATAACGCTAGCATTCAGTCCACAAGCTGATGTAATTTACTAAATGACAGCACCCTTGTACCATAGATAGCACAGCCAATTAAACCATTTAAAAAGCTGTAAAATGTCAGACATACCCACCTTTTCAATAGTAATGAAAGAAATGATCATGAACTATTGGCGATGTAGCTTTTTTTTTTTTTCCAGAAGAGGGAGTGGACTCTATAATTAGGACTTGTTTTTTGGTGCTGTCAAGTCATCTACAACTCACAAGGACACGATGGCCTGTGGTCTGAACCTTCTCAGTCTCTGCCGTGCTCCAGCCATTGTTACAGGCTCTGTGCTAGTTCTCCTTGTTGAGGGTCTGCCTCTCTCCCAGCTTTCTCAACAGTCTTTTTCCAAGGACTGGCCCTTTCCAATAATATATCCTAAGTATGTGACACAAAGTTCCACCATCTTTGCCTCCAAAGAGCACCTTGTTCCATTTCCTCCAAGAAATTTGTTCTTTTCACAGTCCATGGCATATTCAATATTCTTCATTAGTATTTGATATTCATTATTATAGAGATATTTTTCTAAAAGGATAGGAAAATTTCCCAAGTATGTTCCTAAAACACTTGATGCCTCCAGATTTTCTGCTAGAAATAAAAAGACATCCTCAAATCTGTGGAGGATACCACTGCATACTCCTCTTTTCTTATTTGTTTTATTGTGAAACAAGCAAAAAGGTTTATCAAGGCAATTAAACAGAGGCATGATTGAAGAATGGTAGAGATAAGCTGTGCAAAACAGTTAAAGAGACAAGAGCATAGAGAACCGCAAATCATAGGGCGAGCTGTCAGCAGAAAGTGGACAATAAATAGGGAGTAAGCTATATGTACTACTCTTGATCCTAGATTGGCATGGCTGCTTATATAATAAAACCTCCAGTTAGTTCTACAGTAAAGAAACATGCTGGCATTTAACTTTTACATATCAACAAAGGACTTTGGTCACAAAGCCTTCCCCTCCCCTGCCTGCCCCACCTAATGTCACTGAGCAATTTGTTATGTGCCTTCGAGTCTCTTGTGGCTCATAGCAATTCTCTGTACAACAGCCCTATATCCTGCTCTATCCTGTGCCAATCTTGTTGTCTCCAGCACATCTACTCTCATTACCCCAGTCACTGAGTCAATCTATCTCATCGAGGGTCTTCCTCTCCTGTGTTGTCCCTCCACCCTCCCAAGTATGACTTCTCTTTCCAAAGACTGGGGTTTTGTAATTAATACACTTTGGGAATCCTTGTAACAGGTAAGTGGTTGAATTCTAACTGTCAGAAAGGTGTGGTAATGGGGGAAAAAGATGGACAGTCTCCTCCCATTGATTTAAAACTTGAAACCTGTTGGAGGATCAGCTATGAATTGGTTCTTACCCAATGGCAATGAGCTTTGAGTTTTTGTAACATGATGCACAATGTTTGCTGAACCTAAGTAGTGCCTTTTCAATTTAACCAGAACCCTGTGACCGGTATTTAGAAATATTTGTAGTATAAAATGGGGAAGGAACAATTTGAAAATCATTAGTCAATAAGAATCTAAAAAAATAAATACAAATAAAGAGCAAAGAGGTCAGTTTAAAGAAAAAAAAATGAAAGAATCTAAAGGTTGTGGCAGAACATAGGATTGATTTTGTACATGAACTTTATTCACAGTTTTTAATTTTGGAAAAGACATAATCAAGAACCAGGAAAAGAGCATTAAGAGGTCATATGAGCCCTTTAATGGCAGAATTATATTATTTCTCTACTTTTTTGGTTTTGTTGGCAAGGAAAGAATTAAAAATTAGAAAGGACTTTGACACTGAGAGATCATGCTCTTGATCCCTGACCTATGTGTAGGTGAGTCTACTTGCTCCGAGGCTGTGGAGACCAGTGACATTTGAATCACTTATTTATGGTAGAGATTGGTCCCTAATAACCCTTTGAACTCAACCTACTGCTGTCAAGTTGTGACCGTCTCATAGCCAGTCCTCCACTGGATTTCCAAGGCTGTAATTCACATGGAGAGGATTTTCTTTCTCCCTCAGAGTCCTTGGTGGGTTTGAATTGCCAGAGAAGCATAGCCTTTGGGTTAGTAGGGTCGCTCCCTATGGGCTACGCCACCAGAGTTCCCTAAAAATCCTTTGTTGTTGTGTCATTGAGTCAGAACTGACTTATAGCTGACCCTCCAGTGGATTTTCAGAGGCAGTAAGTCACCCAGGGAGAGATTGTCCACCCTTCCCTGGCACATCAGCCAGTGGATTCAAACCACATGCCCTTGGGGTCGCAGTATACAATGTTTTTTATTCAGAACTCATTGAATATGATGCAGTTTACAGTGGGATAATGACTTTCTAGACCACTGACTGCTAACTGGAGGAGAAATCACACCATCTAGAAGCTCTTACGTTGGTTATCACCATTGGTCCTTGGTCGTATGCTTCTTCCTGAAATGGTTCAGTGTCTACCAGTCCTTTCGGGTACAGGTGACTCTGTGTATTCCTTCCATCTTCTGACACATCCTGCATCATTCAAGATTTTGCATTTAGAACCCTTTTGTATTACCATTTGAGGCTTGAATAGGTTCTTCAGTTCTTTCAGGGAAATGCTGAGCATTTCCTTTTGACTCTCCAGTTCTTGGCACATTTCGTGGTAATATTTTTCTTGGTCTTCTTGAGCTGCGCTTTGAAATCTTCCATTCATCTCTCTTACTTCAGCAGCATTTCTTCCCTTTGTTTTGTTCTCCCTCTGTTACAGTGCAAGTTTTGAAGCCTCTTCTGACATCCCTTTTGTGATTTTCTTTTCTTGCCTTTTGTTATTTTCAAGGATGTCTTGAAAGAAGTGCAATTAGATGCTC